AATAAGGAAAGTGTTTCTTCCCGGAAACTGTGTGGGTGCAGTCGAATTGGTTTTAGTCCATATAATTTTGATTGAGAAGTCTAATCCGAATAGATCGTAATTGTTTTGGATCTACGCACCAAATTAATAAGAAAAATGTTTTCCCGAGAAATTTTGGTGGCAAGTCGATTTTTGAAAAAGGAGGTTATACACTGCTTTTTTTTTCCCCGAAAAAAAAAATTGTCTCAGATCGCCCTGGAAACAAATTTTTCTAATATAACGCGTGGCCTGTAGAATCCATAATTTTCAAAACAGTTCCAAGATTGGCTTACTAAGTTAAAAGTTACAGCCTTTGAATTTTTTCGAAATTGGTTTCTAGTCTAATAACTTTTGATTGAGAGTGCCTAATGAAAAGTACGAATTGTTTTTGGATTTAGCGCACAAAATTAATAGAAAAAGTGTTTTTCCCACGAGAATTATTGGAGAATATTCGATATTTAAGGTAAAAAAGGAAGGTTAAGTACAAATACTATGCGAAAGTAGTCGAATACTTTCTCAACAGTATCCAAATACTTTGCGAGTATTCGAACCTAAATATTTGTTGAAAGTATTTGAGTTGACAAATACTGTTCCATAAAAAGTAATTTAATTTACACAAGTATTTGAAGTAACTTTAAGGATTTTGAATACTAAAGTATTACACAAATCGATTAATTGCCCAGCTCTGCAGTTGTGAACCCGTGGCTCGGGCGAATTGATTACAGGCGGGTTCAGGATTCATCCCTAAGACTATTGAATAACCACCAAACAGATCAGACTAAAATTTTTGGTACCCGGTCGCCGCACCGCGTATTAATGTGCATTCATGGATAAATGAACAGCACTTTAAAAATAGACTATCTGTCTTTTGGCACTTTATATCTAAGTTACAATTGTAATTAAAAAATTCTTTCTAAGGACGTAAAGAATTGTGTAAATTTGGTTTTAAAAAAACTCCAACACATTACAACTTGTATCCTTTTCTCTCTTGGAATTTATGTGTTACCTACTGTAGATTCCATCTCATCTTAGTGGAGAAATGCTTGTAATACCATTTTGGTAATTTCACGGAATTTTGGTGCGTAGAATCCAAAACAATTCGTACTTTTTGATTTAGACTTCTCAATCAAAAGTTATGGACTATAGAAACCAATTTCGAAAGAAAAATTCAAAGGGCTGTAACTTTTGAACTAGTAGCCCAATCTTGGAACTGTTTGAAATTATGGATTCTACAGGCCACATTCTATAAGAAAGTTTTTTTCCGGGTCGATCTGAGACAATTTTTTTTTCGGGCCTCAAAAAAGGCAGTGTATACCTTACTTTTTTTTACCAAAAATCGACTACATCAAAATTTCTCGGGACAACACTTTTTCTTATTAATTTTGGTGCGTAGAATTCAAAACAATTCGTACTTTTTCAATCAGACTTCTCAATCAAAAGTTATAGACTAGAAACCAATTTCGAAAGAAAATTCAAAGGGCTGTAACTTTTGAACTTGTAGCCCAAACTGTTTGAAATCAGATCAAAGATTGACTACGGATGCTTAGTATATATAACGGCGAAAAAATATATCCTTCACAAATTAGAAACAATACAGAACACCGCACTGCGAATAATAACAGGTGCATTAAAAACAAGTCCCATTGTTAGTCTAGTAGCAGAAACCGGAGAAATGCCACTAGAAAACCGCAGAGAACAGTTTCTATTGAAGTACATCATTAAACTCGCCTCAAACAACAAAAATTCTGCATACGATCAGATATTCACTATAAGAAACAATACAAGGATCATCAAAAAGGAAAACGAATACCATGAATATATTATCAGATCACTTAAAAATATGAACCTCACTATATCAGTTGTTCAGCATCAATATGAAACCCAATATGCCCCATGGACACTAAAACCAGCCAATTTTAATCTACAACTGGCCCAATACGATAAAGAAAAAACCTCAAATACCATAATACAAAATGATTTCCTACAACTAAAACATGTACATATACATGAACCACAAATTTATCTACACAGACGGATCAAAGCGAAACTCTCAAACTGGCGCAGCACTAGTAATGGATTCATCAAACCAACAATTCCACCTTCCCAACTTTACATCAACATATCCAGCAGAAGCATTTTGTGTCATGAAAGCGGTACAGTCCATAAATCAAGCAACTAAAAATAACTATGTAATATGTACAGTGTCCCTAAGTACCATTCTAAGCATTAAATCCACATATCCCACTAATCCCATCATTCAGAAAATACAGGAGAGTATCCATAAATCACTCACACAATCCAACCATCCTTTGGGTACCATCTCATTCCGGCATTAGAGGGAATGAAGAGGCAGACACCTTGGCAAAAGAAGGAGCAACTCTAACCGACATACTTCACCTCCCTATACCATCCAGCGATCTCGTTAATACAGTCAAACAAAAAATGAAAGAAAAACTACAATACCAATGGAGTCAAACTACCAATAATCAGTTAAGGAAAATAAAACCAAGCTTAAAACCATGGAAAATGAATGGCGCCAGAAGAGAAAGAGTAGCGGCCACAAGGCTAAGGATCGGTCATACCCTCTTGACACACGACTTCATCTTCCAAAAAATTGAGCCAACGCAATGCACCACATGTGATACTCGACTTACCATTGAACACATACTGACTGAATGTAGAAGCTTCGACCAACAACGTATAACATGCAAACTACCGCCTACCCTCACGGAATGTCTAGGAAACGACAACATACATAAAGCCTACAATGCGAATTATGTTTATCTGACATTTATATCATTTAACTGTACTGTACTCACCATCATGCACATCTCTATGGGTCGATGCGTAATAAAGAGAATAGCCCAAAGCCCAAAGTCACAAGTTTACCTTTCGATGTATTATCTTGGCATAATGCTATGCTGAAAATTAATAATCTTACTTCTAAGACGCTGAATAAATTTGTGTTTATTTTAAATGGAGAGGTTTCAAATAACTAAAACGTTAATACCATAAAATAAATAATCCAAACTTCTCGCAGTTAAGTTTTATTAATGTACATAAAATAGACAACTTATTTCGCCAATGAAATCCGTATAAGTTTGAGGTGGCTTCGACTCCATAGAACTTGTCTTTTGAAAATGCCTCTAAATAAGGTCCGTGTCGGTTGGTATATTGAAGTTCTTTCTTTACGGAAATGCAAGGAAATACAGGTTGACACAGTAGAACTACTCAGTAGATGCCTATCATGATATGCTTATTCAAGGATCCTTAATAGTCCACTCAATCGGCAATTCAGCCTTTCACCAGGTAAAAAGACATCAATAGATAGTTCGCAAGCTTGCAATACCGATCAAAGCGCGATTTCGGGTGAGATTCCGCAACTGCCCATATTAAATTAGTTTATACGTAAATCGCTTTGGTCTAACTTCACAAAAGAATTTTGTACGATACGAAACTGGACAATTAGCGTGCAACGGCATCAAAGTACAATGCGCGTGCAATTAGGATTTCAAAGATCTCCAATATCGATAAACATTGAAACTGTTGATTCTTCTTTGCAGAATTTGCACGAATGTTATAAAAAATCATTTTCTTCCTCCGGTCGACGCGATCATTTATAAACGACTCGCCCGGAATGACTTTCCTTTAAGTATTTATACGGAGCTTAACTTGCTTAAGAACCGAAACTTTTTGTTACCTTATTGTTAACGCTCCTTTTTTAAATATTACGCTTTTCAGGATCTAAATTTTGACAACCAACCTGCATGCCTTTTTGTGTCTCATTCTTGTTGATTTACTGCATTTGACTCTATATCTGATTCTTATTGTACCATTTGAGATAGATATTTGAATTGTGATTTCTCTTTTGCATTTTGTTGTAGTTGATGAAAACCACATTAAGTAATAGAAGAAAGGTTAATTAGAGGACCCCCTTCTCGTGTTGCGTAGCCGCAAGAACTGCGGGCTACACAACATTGCCGTAAATTGCCGCTAATTTTCTTACCAAACTTCGTTGTGTAAAATCGCTTATGGAACAGCATCTCTGCACAGAACGGTCAGACTTGATTGGGGGGGGGGCTTTAATACTGGGGTAGGACGCATAATTTTAGTCATATCGCAAATATATGCCAGATGGGTGCATTGTTTTATTTAATTTGATACATTTAAACTTGGAATCGTGAAACTTTGAATACCAGGTAAAATATCTCAAAAATGCGTGGTGGAAAATTCGAAATTTTGCAATTTCTCCAATTACTTCTCGCAGCACAATTAAAAGCTGCTTATCACACAAGTTTCCGGTCGATCGGTTTTCCATGGTCCCTATAAATTGAACAGGACACAGCTCAATTTAATTATTTCAAAATGTATTTACAAATTTCACAAAATACAACAACACATACATTTTGTACTTATAACTATAAGAAAACAATAACAGGCAAGACTGAAACAGCCTAAAGATTGACGTCACCTCTCTACACCATATTCAAGCATCTAAGTAATTGAATTTTATGTACAAATAAATCGAGTGTAGCCAGAGTATTATATAATAATAAGAATAGTCGTAATAATAAGAATTATTTGGCACAGTATTATGTAATACTGCAATAAGAGGGATAGAAACTAAGGTATAATTAATTACAGAAGTAAGTTTTTAATAATTTCATTTCAAGGAAGCACAATTTATTATTTGGTGTTACCAAATCCAAATAAACCACACAGGTATGTACAAAATGCATTAAATTATATCTCCTAAATTACGTAAAAATATTTATCACAAATTCATTTGCTTACAAGTGGAATATTTTAGAATCACATTTAAAAAAGCCAACAAAAATAAATAATAAACAATTAAATGCGCTAACTACATAAAATATGCGTTAGAAATTATATTTCTGTCTTTTCACAATAATAAATTGCTTAAAACTGTATTATATACAAGCGAAGGCAATTTCGGCAAAAAATTTCTTACAGCGGGTCGCTAATGAATACTCCATGCACATTGTTTATTGCACTTTATTTATTGATGCAAAGCCTACATATAAGTTAAAATTGTTTCCGATGATAAGATCACAATTTAAAAGTGAAAATGCGATCTCAAAGTGCAATAAGGCACTTTGCTAACATGCGAAAGTAAAAATTTTCATCAACTGCTGTAAAAATGCCAAAACTAAAAACCCACCAGATCAACTTTGAAGCGAATGCGACCGCACTCGATTAAAATTTAATCCGCATTTAAAATAATTGTCGCTTGTTAAAAATCGACTTCACGAATTAATACTAAAAAAAAATGCAACACGCATAAATATTTTAAGTACTGAATTTCGCACTGCCCAAACTTGCCCAATTTTAAACATGAGATTCTAAAGGAACGTTGAATATCCGAGGTTCGGGTAAACTTTGCGGCCGCGCACCGATTAAATGCTGTCGTAACGCGACTACCATGTTTTCGGGTCCGACCAAATTGACCTCGAACAGCAAACGTTCGCGCCTCGTCGAACTGAGATCGGGCGAGCTCGTCCTCAACGTGCACTTCTCCTTGTTGCATTTTTCGGCGCCGGAATCTTCCTCTTGGTAACGGTTGTCCAACCAATTCACTTTGTCGAAGTCTTTCGTACCACCTACAGTGTGTCGCCGCTTGATCGATCGTTCAGGCATTCCGTTTTTGCGCTTCAATTTCGTAAACTCTTTGGTAGTTCTACGGGCCGACGCCGATAGTTCGCGGCGCTTGTTTAGGTTGTTTTCGGTTTTTTCGTTCTTCGTCAAGCTGTCAGAGCGCTTCAGTCGATCGCTGGCTTTATTTAGGCTCTCTGATCTTTTGAGTTTGTAATTCGGCGGAGACACCGTACGGTCGGGTTTGTTTAACGACTCGGACCGCCGCAATTTTGAATTACCGTTGAGAAAGTTTAAGCCGGCGTTAGGCTTGGTGATTATGTTGTATGTTAATTTGTCAGTGGTCGATATGTGACGTTCGTTATCAGGTACATTTTCAGAACAATCTTTATCCTTTTCTTCCTCGAAGCTTCCCTTTTCCAGTTCCTTGGTGTTGAAATCGTCTCTGTTGGTTAACTTGGCAAACTTGGCCGAGCTCAACGTGCTTTTATGTAAACTCGGATTGCGATAAAGCTTAGGTGAAGCGGGTATATTTTCTTTATTCTGATAGGCGGAGCTATCAAAAGCCGGTCGTTCTGGTGATTCATCTGCGAATGGTAAATCGGTTCCCAATAACGGGTTTAAGGTTTTCTTTTTCTCATCAAAAATTTTCATGATTGTCGACTGCAAATCTCCCCCTGTAAGATAGGTCTTAGTAGTACTACAAATATTAGTAAGCGGGACATTCAAAGCAGACTCGTGCAAATAAAATGTATGTTATTTATACCTTGTGTGTTACCATAACAGACAATTCAAGTTTCAATTAGTGCTGTGCTTTATGTTAGGCCGGTTTTTGTATAATACACGCTAAGCGAGTGCAAAAGCGGCACAGCTAAATACCTCGTTTAAAACCTGTTGCGGAAACGGGTACGAGGGGGGCGTTGGGGCGCTGTAGGGGGACGCACAGGCCTCCAACCTCGTACTGGAGCCACTGAGGCTCCGTAGCCTAACATATCCAACACCATTAGTACCAAATATTGATTGAATGTCACATTTTAAACAATTTTGGGAACCAATGTGACAAAGGTCCGTTATAAATAAAAGACAAAACACAACAACTTATCGATGCCGTTCTAGAAGCTTATTTTTCATAATTAATTACAGACACTGAAACACACAGTAAAGTTTTTTTTAGTATCCCATACACTTTTTCATTTTTCCTTGATAAAGTATACTCTTGCGGGTTAATTAACTACTTTGACAATTATTTCATCCTTGCGATCTTTTGCAAAACTAGATCCTGCAAGTTATGTCATATCTATAAAACTCATGAAAATGTTTAGTTAAAAATGATGATAAATTTGTTTATTAAATTTAGACTGTCCCATTATTACATATAATGTAGTGTAGTACCCCATATACTAAAAATACTTCACGTACTCCTCAAAAACGAGCTTACTTCGTCAAAGATGATTCAACTTTACCGTTAACCTTATCTAAAATATTGGATAGGAGCGGCATAGGATACGCATTTTTAGAATTTCGCCCAGATCACTCCCTCTACTCCATTTCCTTCTTGCATGTAGATAATAGATATCCTGGTCATTAAATAATGTCACATTTTAAACAATTTTGGAAACCAATGTGATAAAGGTCCATTATAAATAAAAGACAAAACACAACTACTTTTCGATGCCATTCTACAAGCTTATTTTTCATAATTAATTACAGACACTGAAACACACAGTAAAGTTTTTTTTAGTATCCCATACACTTTTATATTTTTCCTTGGTAAAGTATACTCTTGCGGGTTAATTAACTACTTTGACATCTTTGGGATCTTTTGAAAAACTAGATCCTGCAAGTTATGTCATATCTATAAAATGCATGAAAATGTTTAGTTAGAAATGATGATAAATTTGTTTATTAAATTTAGACTGTCCCATTATTACATATAATGAAGTGTAGTACCCCATATACTAAAAATACTTCACCTACTCCTCAAAAACGAGCTTACTTGGTCAAAGATGATTCAACTTTACCGTTAACCTTATCTAAAACATTGGATATGAGCGGTATAGGATACGCATCTTTCGGATTTCACCCAGATCACTCCCTCTACTTCATTTCCTACATGCATGTAGATAATAGTTATCCTGGTCATTAAATTTGATCCAATTCAAATAACTCAGGCGCATCCCCGAGTGATGAAAAGGGAGATGGGCGCTAGTCATCCCCTTCCCGGCTTTATGGTTCAGTGATAGAGCGTTGGACTATAAATCTGGAGATCGGGTGTTCGAACCTGAGTTGAGGTGAATTTTTCATCTGTGGCAGAGATGGGAATTACCTTAGACCAGTTTCGAGCATTCTGCCGGCTACTGCGAATTAGATTTTCCTGCAGTTTTCCTAATTCGTGAGGTAAATACTGGAGTAGTATAGAACAACTTAAGACCAACTTAAGACCTTCTGCAGAGGCACCTCTAAAAAGCATTATGCGGGTCACTCTGTGATTGGGCGCAAGCCTGTTGAGGGCCCAGAACAAGAGAGGGATAATAAATAAATAAATTAATTAATTAAGTCAGATTACCCACTCCATCCAGATATTGTACTGTGGGCACTGGCTAAAGAATTGCACAGGATTTAAAGAGGAGTAAATAATTAATCCTAAGTTGTCGTGCCAACGTCTTCAAGTTTTTCTTGAGAGTAAGGTGAAATGAGCAAGACTGTAAAGGGCGGAGGACTTAAAAGGAGGCAGCCCAAAAGAACCAAACGTGATGTACCAACGTATATGTAAAAATCGGTATTCATCAACCCCCCCTACTGACAGTCAGACTCAATAGAAATCATGCTTGATGGACTGAAGCCGATTGAAAGTCCATCAACAGAGCCCAAATAATGAATTCGTTCAAAGAATATTCACAGGAAGGTTTTCTTTTTCCACTGTTCTGGTGTCTTGTCTTGGGGACACCATATCGGCTATGAAACAATGCTATTAAAAAGCACAACAGAACAGTCAATGAATTCCACTCCAAGAGTGTTGTGGGGAAACCTTTCTTAATATGGTGGAAGACCTACCATAACGGACATGAGGGAGGAATATGACCACTTCAGCACTTTTACTGTATCGCTTCTTGCGAGCAAAGATTAGCCAAGGGGAGTTCTAAGATCTAACCTCAATACAGTACTATTCCACAATACATTACATGTGATAATGGAAACATTATATTAGAACATCAAAATGGTCCTCAACGTGCTTGTCTGAATAACCAAACATCATTTGAAGAAAGTTTGGCTTAGAAATTAAAGTCGAATCAACCCTATCATTAAAAGATAAAGCTTTTTTGCTAAATTATAACGCGTGAAAAGCTAGAACTACAATCAGAAGGGATAAAATTAATAGGCATATGCTAAAAATTGTATCCCATCTTACTAAAGAGAAAAGAATGACAAAACATACCATCATCCGCATCATGTGCTTTATGCAACGAGTCCAACGACCCAGTCCGTTGACCTAAATCATTCTGCAACCAAAATGACATCACTTTCAATACAAAAACGTTTAAAAACAACTCACCTCATTCGCGTACTTGACTTTTTTCAGTGTTCCATTGGAACTAAGATCCATAATGCTTGTATTGACATTTTCGACGGAGCTGCCCCTCCTAAGAATCGCCTTATCGAACGGCTTAGGACAAGTCAGCGCACCTATATTATTCGAATCACTAAACTTCTTCTTAAACGAATTCTGATAACTGTTCGCGGTTGTCTCGCGACGTTCCTTATTCTGATTAAAGTCAAAACTTCCCGATCTATCACTATTTTTTAAACTAACACTTTGTGTATTATTATCTATATCACGAGAGTTTTTATTAAATTGCACTGTTAGAACGCTGTTCGCGGAATGCCTTGAGTTTCCGTTCATAGGGCTGTAGAATACGTTCGACGCGCTTTGCGTTTTCGTGATGGCGTAGGCGTCACCAAAATTCGAATGGGACGTCGAAGTCAGTTTGTTCTCCTGGTTCATATTGTGCAACCCTCTTGGTACGCTTTGATCTAAAATAATTAGGTAATAAAAAAGTTCTGGTGTGTTCGTTACTTTACTCACCAAAGTTATCGCTGTAAAATTCTGCAGTCTTCCGATTTCTTTGCAAATTAGCTTCAGTTTCTTGAATAAAATTTTTGATTCTCCTCCTATAATTTTCCTGATCCGAATAATTGAAGTACGTTCCCCTGTCCATCTGCGGATTCGACTTCTCAATATCAACTATTGTGGTCGGTATATCACTTGACTTTCCTTCGGTTAAATTCTAAAAAATGGATTACTTGACATTCTACTCGCAAAGTGGATTCTTACCTGTTTGTGATTGCCAGGAAAATTAGACTGTGATGTAAACTCTTTCATTCCAATAGGCGTAATGAGATCATCCTTCATATCACCCGAGTTGGTAGTCTTCCCTCCCTTTCTCATTTTCCGATGAGCCGCCGAAATGATGGACGACAGTAGCTCTCTACCAGGTACTTTGTCCCCTTTTATTCCTACAAAAGGCGGTATTAGAGCTACGAACACAAACATGTGATCATACCTTCAACTTTACTAATATTATCTAGAAGAAGTGCACGATTACTTGCAACGTCCAGTTCATTATTCAAAGAGTCGACAGGTGGAGCACTAGTTAAATTTAAACTAGAAGTGCTTTCTTCGGAAAAGAACCAGTCGGCCTAAAACGCAAATTGTAGCACTCGAAATTAAGTTGCACAATCTTACATAACAAATGAGAGATTCCACAATTTTGTAATTATGTGTCATATCATTCACTAACGTAGCCATGTCATCTTGAACGGCTCGTATAAGCGTAGGCCCGAAGACGATAGCCAAGTTACGGCCCTCCATTTTGTTCACTTCAGAATTGTCAGTGACCTTCTTCAAATGCAACATTAAATGCCTAAGTGTATGGTAGTGATGTGGCGGGAGACACCTTACTAGCTTCCGCAATTCTTCCATGCGTACATTGGGATCCTTCGCCTTATCCGCCTCGATGAAGTTGGAATACAAACCGCTCGTCAATAACGCATCTGGTAACTTCCGGAAGAAGGATTTCAATAGACTACTAACTACGTGGACGTCGTTCCACTGAGCGTCAACTATCGGAACTCCTTCGAAACTCTGATTAATGGAATTGGTTAAGGCGGTTATTGCAGCGCTGTTGCCAGGTACTCTGTAGACGCCGATGATGTCTAAACCTTTGCTCTCGACAATTTCGGTGCACACTTCCACTAGACGCGGAACATTTGGGTTGTAATTGGAAGGGTAGCAGTGCTCGAGGGGTACACCGAACGTCGACACTTCGGGGGCGGTAGGCGAACTAGGCGAGCTGGCACCTTGTATTTTGCGAAACTGTTTGGCAACACGACCCTTCCACGTTTTCGATTTAGGGCTGGTCAGTCCTTCGTTAACCTGTGACGGTTTTCTGGTTTTGCTAACGGGCGACTGTCCAGTAGGAGATCGATTTCGCAACGATGGAAGTTTCGACTTGTTCGGCTGCGGCGATAACCGGCTGGAACCCTGAACTTGTACGGTGGTCGAGGCGGGTATTGTTTGAGGCACCGCTTGTTGCTTTGAAGTAACAATGCCATCCTGTAAAAACACAAAGTGAGGTATACTGCAAGATGTTTACCTTACACATGTAACAACAGTAATGAACCAATCTGGAGCGCAATGTGTTTTTCTCATAATAGTCGACAGTATTTTGAAAAAATCTCCGATTAGAACAGGAACAATTCCGATAAGATATCGTTAAGTGGTACATTGATAACTTACCGATTTACTTTCAATGTCAGTAGCGCCTACTTGCTCTTGTAACGCCTTCACCCAATCCGCCAAATCGACGGGACTATCTGCTTGAAGAAGCAGCTCGGAGCGGCAAGGAAGCACAGAGGAAACTCGAAGCACATTCTTTCTTTTCGTGTAATCCTCGGCAATTCTCACACAACTCGCACTCATATCTACGCCGTTCGCTAGTGACTGTTCAGCTGCATCTGATGGACTCTGCAAAGAAGAAAGTTTATTTTATAGTATTTTCTCCAAAGTAAATATTTTGGTGAGGATTAATTACGTAAACATCTGCATAATGAGCTGGCAATTTAGATAAGCTGTTTTCAATTATGCTGGTACATTACTAAAGGTAAACAAAATTGAAGGCGTTCAGGTAATTACCGAGAATAGCGAGACAGACGAATCAAAATTCGTAACTGGACGGTTCATTAACAGACAATGACTGCCATCGATCACGTTACCTTCTTCTGTAGGATCAAATCAAATGAAGTGACCTTTACAACTTTATTATCGCTGTTCAAATAATGTCAAAACAATTCAATGAAACTGTAATAAAGCAGTGTTGATTATAAAAGGTGATTTGGTATGAATAATCAATGCGGAAGCCAAACACAAAAGGGGTCCGATTCTGACAAGCGCTGGTCCATAGACGCAGTTATATAACTTAGGAAAAATCGATAGATCTTCACCTCGTGAGAGTTGTTTGTTTCCCTACTACTGTACTTATATTAGAGCACAATTTAAAATAAATTGGGGATGGTATCTTTTTCGTCTTCAAAGAAACAGTACTAGTGCGACAAATGGTAATTTTCACATTTTTTAAAAAATGATTGGTGAGAAAGCTACCTCTCCCCAAAAGATTCCCAAGTTCCATAATCGCGGGACTGACAGAATTTGTCCACTGCCGTATTACGGTATCTCCAACAAAATATGTTCACCCCAACCACAATTCAGGAGGATGGAACTAAGGGCTTTATCTGAGTTTTTGAGTATGCTCTTTCAGATTTAGTAAATATGTTTTGAAAATTCTTTCTCCTAGCGCGAGATATGATCGAAATTGGTATCTCGAAGCATGAAAGTAGCGCATCCAAAATTGATTTACAAAATTTTAAAAAATCAACCCGCCAAAAATTACAATCAGATTTTTTCAAATATTCACAAATCAATTTTGGATGCGCTACTTACATGTTAACAAAGTACCGATATACTAAATCGAGTACTAAATTTTATTTTGTTCATATCACGATTCTTTCGAGTTTAAAATAAAATTTAGACGAACTGTGACCTTTTTCCGTGAAACGCAAATTTTAGGCTTTTGAAAATGTGACTCCGAAACATTTTGAAGCCTTCCTTTATTGGGAGAAAATGTTTTGGCCCCGTTTATCGCTCAATTTTGTTTTTACCTGATACATCTCGTATATAGCCTTATCTTTTTTGCTTCATTTTCTTTACTTAATTTTTTTTTTATTCTCTTTTTATCAATATTCTATTTTTAGTTTGGAACTTAAATGTCAAAGGTATTTATTTATTTCACTAGTTACAATTACCTACTGCAATATTTATATTGATTTTATATTTTCTATTTTAAAAATTAGTTCCTACTATAGTTTTAATAATGCAGTATGCGCTTAACGATTTATTTATCTTTTTTTGCGATTGTTCATATATGGATTATGAGTCTGTAGAACAACAATAAACATTATTATTATTGTTATGTCTTATATATACAAAAATACGAAGCGTGAAGGCATAGAAAGACGAATCGCTTCTCACCAGTGATTTTATTTTCTATGTTTTAAGCCTAAAGCCTAGTATTATTGAGTAGGCAGGCCCTAGGTGATATTGCAGTAAAGAAGACATAAGGTTAGCTTGCTCCAGATATGGATCTGCTGAAAGTATAGGCCGGAAGAGTGCGTAGATTTAAAACATTTTCGATAACGTTGATACAAAAAAATATGTTATCTCGTAGACATTTCATTACGAAACGAATCCAAAATTATTTTACCCAAAATCGCCCTGAAACCTTCATTTTCATGCCTACTTTCTGTCAGGAAATTTTAGTTTCCATGACAGAGGCAGATCAGACATACGTTTCCTGCCGCTTGTAATTTTACTGGCCGCACCTGTCACTTCACCGGCCGTACCGTCACTTTACCGGCCGCATTTGTGACATTTCCAAATGTCTATAATCACTGACAGATTGACATTACTCAAAAGTTCTATATAAAAATTGAAATTGTATATTAAAATACGATTTCGCGTAAAATTTAATACAAAACTCGTCAATAAAATGATATTACCTGACTCGGAAATTAAAGTACTCGGCCCCTTAGGGGCCTCGCACTTCAATATTTCCTCGCCAGTAATGTATCATTTTCCGGACTTTTATGTAAATAACTATTCTGAGGAGTGAAACACAAAATTGAGAGCAATTTTTCGCCGAATTACAAAAATGGTCAGAATTTCAGGAAACTTGCTATGTACATTTTTACCACGCGCACGTTAGTAAGGACGGTGACGGAAATACACGTTTTGAAGTACCAGGTCTGTCTGTCTGTTCTCCCATTTCCGGCTAAACGGCTGAACCGATTGGAAAAAAAAGTTGTACACATAATTCTGAGATATAAAAGGGCAGAATCGCGCATGCGCAGGTGTGCGAGTGGTATCTGTGCTAGCCACAACAAATGTTATAAGTAGTTTGATTATTTTCACTTTCCAAGATCCCCAGAACACAAGTTTTGTCAAAATCAAAAATTTCTTTAGCGCCCTCTGCTTATATATGGGCCATCTTGAGGTGATAATAGTGGCAACGTCCCAAAAACCCTAAATCCAATCTTAATCTGTAACAAAAATTACAAAATCTCAGAACACATTATCATAGCCTGAGGCCCGGTAACCTGATTAAAGTGGCAACGTGCCTACTATATACAGGATACCTTCGGTATGTTAATTGTCCAATTGTCTAATTTCTAAAATTCGGCAAAAAACCACCCTGTATATTAATTGATTTGGCTCATTTTTTCAATATCTTAGTATGAGACCAAGCAGGAGATATTTTCTATTGTTTAGGTATGTATTTTCTATGTTTCTAAAGAAAAGACGTTTCTCCGATGTTTGAAAGACCACGTGTGGTAAAAAATGATTAACTTTGTAGAAGAGCACAATACCAAAATCCTTGTTTGTAAGAAAAACGTATAAATGCATTATCTAGACGCCCAAGATGTCAATTTGATGTACCTACCTCCTACGGGCATGTTGAAAGTAAGATTATTATCTAAATTGTCCTTTATGCACTAAAGGTCGTGTCAAGAAATTTTGGATCTGGCCGGCACATTTTCGATTAATTTCATTTAATCCCATAATACACGGTGCCAATTATGCTCCGCGCTTAAATAACATTTTGCGACCTGGCAAAAAATAAGTTTGCACCACGCCAACTTCACGGAACCGCGAATTTTTGTATAAATGATTTTTTGGGGCAACAATTACGCGTTAATTGTGCGCTTTTTGACGCAGTTGAAAGAAAAATTTGCGCCCTTTAGGATATTTCAAAAACCATTCTCCCGGGAACGTGCGTAGCTGACTTTTTCATAATTTTTTTTTGTTATACAGAAGTTAAACGCGAACTCGAACGCGAATTATGCAGCTCTTTGAACAAAATTTCATTCCAAAGGCGCCAAGAAGCGCATAAAGAGTTCACAAGGAAACGCTTATAGAAAAGTCCGTGGCTATGTGAAATTGACCGGGTCAATATAATTTTCGAAAAAACTTATTTTCTATAATGGCTTCGATCCTTGGATCATGTTATGTATACACAAAAACAATACGAGTTTAGGAAAATTGTAAAAAATAATTAAAACTTCAATCAATTAAAAATTGTTATCAAAGGATTTTTAAATTATTCTTAATGATTCACCGCGAAAACAATTTTGTCAGGAAAATGAAAAAAACAAACGATTCTGAACTACTTGGTCCCCTAAACCATTTAACCCAAAGTCCTAAACTAAACCTTTATACGAACCGATTCTGAACCATTCGTAAAATGTGTAGGTATCTAATTATAATATAATTTGTCAATCAAATCAGTAACATAACTGATAGGGGGTCGGTGAATGCTTAATTAAAAAAAAACTAGCTGACAAACAAACACAAATAAATGAATTGCTCGGATGTTGAAATGAAAGTAAAAATGTTGTTCCTCGAAGTCGCTGACTGTAACGGATTTTTTTGAGTAACTCCTTACGTTACTATTTTATCAATAGATGTAATGTATGAATTAACAAAGATTCAAACACGATCAGATCACAATTATGTACTTGTGATCATGTGTTCTGAATGAACCAATCAACATATAATTACGGTAATAAGACTTTGCCTTATATACAATCAATTAAACTTTACATTTATGGTAGTTTTCTTTAATTAACCAATCGTCGAATATTTACACTGAAAATATCCTTAGGGGCTATTACTACGTCATCTGATGCAAACCATTGACACTTGCACATACTGCACGTATACCCAATAATTATCTCGCGCAATGTAAATTTGCTCTAATGGCAATGGAACCATTCATAATAGCGTGAAAGTACCAAATAATAGGCAGTTAAAGTAAAAATTCTCCAAGTCTTAGTCTCACGCAAATCTAATAATTTTTTAGTTTATGCAATTTTAATTAAATATAAACAAATTATTCAACTTTTGAGAACGCAATTCAATTACTGAAAGTGAAATCGTAATTACAAATTCACGAGTCATTTCCGTTGTAAATAACTTAAATAAAATAAATACCCAGGAGCCGGTCGAACCCCATCGTCTCAGTCGGCGAGGGAAAAATCCGTACGTCGGGAAATTGAGATGCAACTGCAGCGGTATACAAGAAACCGTTCCTGACCTTTCCCCTAACATCCGATGTTGCTCCAACATTTTCAGTCACTTTTTTTTAGTTCACGCACATCACGGCCTATTCAACGCGATCGTCTGCACGCGTCGTCGTCGGTGCAAAGTACAAAAAATTTGCGAGGTTAGTAAAGGTTTCGATATCGCCCGCGCGACTTGCACTTTTTGGGTAATTTGCACATTCCGCTGTCGCGCAATTTTTTGATAACGCTCGCCACCGGTTTGGATTGACTTCAAAAATTCTATCTAGTTATAGCGCCCCTGTTATCCTTGCCGATGTAAACAGGTCGAACTAGATTCTCAAGTACAACGCA